TATAACATGTTCTGATAACAGAACACTCAGAACATGCTTTATTCTGTATTTCATCATAGACTACTGATTAAAAATTACCCTTGAACCTAATCAAATAACTTCAAATGGACAAGATGGACATAATGCAGCTTAATGTTTACAGGCTATTATCATCTGTGGCTTGATTAGTAATGCCAGAATGTACCACATACTCACTTTGCCTCATTCACTATTGAGGTAAACTATATATACAGCAAATTGGATCGAACTTAACTTCTAACAAATGTATATGCACCCATGGACCCAGCACCCCAATAAATATATATGACATTTACAATACCTCTGAAAGTTTCCCCTGCCCACTTCCAGTCCCTCCTCATCACCCACAGTCAAATACTGTTCTGATTTCTATCACATTAAATTAGTTTTGTTTTTTCCGGTACTTAATGTAAACGTAACCATACAGTATGCACTCTTTTCTATCTTTCCCCTTTCTGAAAACATACTATCGCTGACAGTTATCCACATTGGTAACTCATTCTTTGTTGTAACATTCCATTGCTTGAATGAACCACACATTGTCTACTCCTTCCTGTTAACGGACTTCGGGGTTCTTTACGATTATTGGTTATTATGAATAAAGCTGTTATAAACATTCTTACACAAGTCATTTTGTGAACACATGTCTTTATTTCTCTTGTATAAATACTTGGGAGGGGTACTGTTGTGTTATGTTAGCTATTTCCTTATATATTCACTCTTTGCCGCCATCACTTCTTTCTTGATATCAGTTAGCACTGCAATAAAAGGACATGACTAACATTTGTAACCTACAAAAATGTATAATCTAATTTTTTCTCTTTCCTGTGAGAAAAATTATCTGATGTTTCTAAAAAATATAATCCGATTTTTATTTTATTTCAATATAAATTGTACATTAAAATTTCATTTGTGATCTTATTTCCTATAATCTGTGTTTTACCATAAGCCTTAAGTTATGATCCACAAATTCCCTACCACTGAGGGTTCCTTGGAAACACAAAACAGCATACGTCTAAAACTTGCTGGAAGCCCCAAAAAACATCTGTTCATGTGGGAAAAAACTGCACATCGTAACCTGACAACAAATATTGTGTTTATATGTGGAATGCACGCTACCATTGAGTTTTATGATTGAAAAGGAATTTGGTAATTCTCTACAAGCGACTAAAGTCTTTAAGTCCTTTTTCCAACATGAATGAACTTCATAACATCATTTTAAGCTATGGTCCAGAAAATCTCACAATTTTACCATATTGATAGCTTGTTGACACTAAATGACTTCTAGAAACAGTCATCCATGTTGTTTTATGCATCAGTAGTTTACTGAGCATGTACAAGGAGGTTAATCTGGGTAATGTATTTTGTCATTGTTCTCTAAATGTCTAGAGTGAATGACCTAATTCTAAGACTCTGTAATTATATAATCTGAGATCTTACAGGAAAGAACACTCCCTAAAGACACATCCAGAACCACTATGATATATACCTTATGAATTATCCTAGATTAGCTCAGGTAACTCAAGTGTTTGCTTTTGTGTGTTCTATTTTTTAATTTACCTATTAATTTGTATGTCATTTTGAACGATAAAAAATGACTGACATATCAATTGTAAGCTAAAGACAATGTACAAGTGAGAGATTTATTTTTTAAATGTAGTTCCAGGGGTGCCTGGGTGGCTCAGTCGTTACACGTCTGCCTTTGACTCAGGTCATGATCCCAGGGTCCTGGGATGGAGCCCCACATCGGGCTCCCTGCTCAGTGGGGAGCCTGCTTCCTCTCCCACTCCCCCTACTTGTGTTCCCTCCCTCGCTGTATCTCTCTCTGTCAAATAAATAAATAAAATATTTAAAAATAAAAGATAAATGTATTTCCATACATAAATGATTTTATTTATTTATTTATTATTTATTTATTTATGAGAGAGAGAAAGAGGGGGGCAAGGGAGTGACAGAGGGAGAGAATCCTCAAGCAGACTCCTCACTGAGCACAGAGCTAGAATGGGCTCAATCTCACATCCCTGAGATCATGACCTGAGCCAAAACCAAGAGTCAGATGCTTAAATGACTGAACCACCCAAGCGCCCCTCCATACATAAATTATTTTAAATGTCAAATGCTATCAGGTATTAGGGTTTAAACATTTGTACTATATCATTTTTCCTTTAAAACAGAAAGTTGGATGCTTTTCTATTTTGGGGGTTTTTACCCCATATTTAAACATTTATCAATTGACACTTAATACTATATAATGTAAGTGATTTGAAAAACATAAAAAGTCAATCACTATTTTTAATGACACCTACCATCCATGGCAAGTATAACAGCTACTCCGTTATCCCATTACTTCTGTGACAGGATGCAGTGACCTTTCATTCTGAGTTGCTTCCAATACATTCTCAGTACTGTCAGCGGGTATTTTAAGCAGTTGTTCTCACAATGATAGTTAATTTCAGGGGCAATTTTTACCCATACAAAACTAATAACATAAACAATTTCACATTCTTCCATCAAATGAAAAAGGTAATGAAGGCCATGTCTCAGGTCATCAAAAATAACGCAAAGATCTAGTTTAGCATCTTATAGCTGGGAGGGATCTTAGTTTCTACCCATTTCTCCTTTCATAGATAAAGAACTTATCTATAAAACAGATTCAATAGTTCAATGAATTCTCTATGTCCACACACTTAACTGGGTTGGAAGGGTTGAAAGGTTCAAATTAAGGTTAGAATTAATAGTTTGGCCTCCTGATTTCTCAAAGTCATTCTGCACCAAGTAAACAGGACTTGACATCAATTTTTATGGGTTGCCTGTAAATTCATTATGGAATCAAGATTCTTTCTGCTTTATTATATTTCTACTACTTTAAGCAAAAGATTTTTTTTTTAAACCACTGGCCACATTCTGACTGACTCACTATATATTTATATAAAATAACTAGTCTTATTCATTTGAAAACATCCCTCAACTAAGTAATGGATAGTTTTCAATATTTCTTAAACATGAAGAAGGAAGATTTAAAAGAATAACTTAAGGTAACTTGAGTGGTACTACTGAGAAAGTAGAAAAGCTTGTTTAAAGAATAAGGAAAATATATAAACTGCTAAGGAATTGGGTAATCTCACTGTCAAAACGGAAGAGAAATACACAAATTCACCTTAGGAGTGTAAAGAAAAGAGGAAAAAAAGGAAAGCAGAATAAATTTTTAACAGAATTATTTTTTATCTCTCATCTTTCTTTAAAAAATGACAGAAGGAGTATTTTTTAAAACTATACTGAAATGGGCCAATCCACAAAGTAGGAAACAATAAACGAGCAATATTTTGACTGCAACACACTCAAACCAGCAGGGCCAGAAAGTCTTTGTTGCCACAAGGCAGCTGGTGTCTGAGTACACAAAACCCTTTTATTTCATTGTCATATTAAATCCTGGGGCATAAAACCAGAGGCAGACTGCAGAGTCTCTGGTTCTCCAAGACAAGACTGTACAGATCACAACTAAAGTCAAGGCCAACTAATGTTCCCACCTAAATGAAAAAAAAAATTAACCAATTAGGGAAAAATGTCTAAAAATTGTTTATTTAATCTGAGAGAGAGAAAGATGGATTCTGATTTCATGTTTAGCTGATAAAACGGTTGCATATTATACGGTACCCTCTTTATAAAGAATTATCTTATATTTCAATATCTACAGGGGAAATCAGCATAATCACAGAAAAAAAAAATAGGGGATTCATTTCCATTTCACATATTCAGGATGATATCCTAACACCTGCAAATCAAACGAATTATAAAAGTAGTGATAATTAAGTTTATATGAGTATATGGGTTATAACATCCAAGTGGATGTGAAGATTTGATGAAATAAGAAATTTATAACCACTAGTACAGTATTAGGCATTATACTGGGTATGATTTCAAAAATCATTTATTATAATCATGACCCCAACCTCCCACAACCTAATGATTATCCCCAACCCTATTTTTACCTTTTTAAAGATGTCAAAATAAATGCTGAAATCTATGTTCAAGAAACTATGCTAATCTTACAATGATTTTTCTCTTTTGGTCTCTATTGACAGTCTCAGGAATTTCGTTCTAACCAATTAAATCCCTTCCTTCATTCTGATGCAAAAGGAACACAAAAATAATAAGTGCTCAGAGAATATTATTACATATGTTCTAGGCTCAAATATTTAGCTCAATAGTCATCTTTCCTTGGGTCAGCCTCCTGACTTTCTTTTAGAGCTGCTCTAAGCCCCTCCCACCCACCCCCCATCCCCAGATTGGCAGATACTCTCTGAAGCCTGGCACCTTCCTTAGTCTATTATTATCTCTCTGATTCTTTCAAAGCTCTTTGCATGTACTGTTTACATTTCCCCAACATAATGTCAAATTGTAATTCATTAAATACATATTTACTGAAGATTTAATATATGCAAAGCAAATGTCTTGACCTCAGATCTGTGATTAACCCTTATACACAAAAGTTCTGAAAAAAAGAATTTAATTGGCTCTCTTCCAATTCAAATTTCCAGAAGTACTTCCAAAGGTTTCTTAAACTATTTCTGTAAATGTATCAGAGTATGACAGTTCCTACTTAAGTGCTATGCTCTTGTAAGTTGAGTTTTCAAAATATTAAATGAGGAAATTTTCATTTTTTTCCTACTTTGAATGGATTTAGAAAAAAATTGTTTTTACAGTTATATATAACTTTAGAGAAACATTAGTTTTTCACTAGAAACTAACCCAGATATTTATTAACTACATACTGTTATATGTTTATTCATGTTCCCAAAACGGAAATATCTGAAATGAATCTGCAGTCAATTAAAACAAACCTACACAAGAGAACTCTCTCTCTCTCTCTCTCTCTCTCTCTCACACACACACACACACACAAGAATGACACCAGAAGCAGTACTTTGTGATTTTTTAAAAATCAAGTGTACCCGTTAGCTCAGCTGTCCACTAGGCCTTACCTGCAGCCATAACTTGTTATGCACAGCATCTCTCCCCGTAGCAATACACTGAAACGTAGCGTTCTGCCCTGCATTGACCTCCACGTCCCCCAGACGGAGAAAATGAGGAGATTTATCTGTGAAGGCAGAAAAAATATTTATTATTTTCACATGAAGAAAATGTGCCATGTTACTTTTTCCCAAAAGAATAATGTTGTTAACACTTTTACCTTTGGCCAACCTGAATACCGTATGGAAGAAAATGGGAGTTTTGTACTGAAATACACACTCCCTCTCACAATTCTCCTTTTATGGCCCCCATCATTGCTAAAGCATTGTTGTATACAGAGAGAGCACTCAACATTTACTGCTGTACGTTGGCCACTGCATGTTGCATATGGGTGATAATAAAACAGTTATAAGTCAAAGAAAGCAAAAGAGATCAAAAAGGCATAAATCAGAGTATACTAGAAAAGTATAGTGAAAACAAACAATGATATCTAACATACTGAATAGACACAGTGGCCTATTAATTTACAACTTAAGCAGTTAGATCTCCTTTCTTTTAAAAAAATATTTCAGTTGCTATAATTCTCTAGTACTTCAAAGAACAAGTGAATATTTTTGTTTCTCTCAAATAGAATATCAGCTTGACCGTTGCTAATTCTACTTCCTATTCCTTCATAGTTGGAAGAAAGTTACCAAAAGCAGCATCAGACCTATAAAAAGTGATGACTGTAGTCAAAACCTACATGACTTATATAACTGTCAAATTAATGTTCTCTATGATTACGTTTTAAAACTGAAGCTTATTCATGTTTTCAACTGAAAGTAAATATACACAGAAAAAGTTAAGCCTCGGTAAGTAAAAGCAAGCTCACAGAGGACCTATCACAGTAAAACTGCTCTTGTGCTTAACTCCTATTTTTATTTGTTTACTCCTGAGAGCCTTTCTTTCACATTTCTCTTCCAGTAAGTGTAAATGAACAGTAGATGGAAACATCATGCTCATGTACTAATAGACTGAAAGAATTTATGAGCAAACCAACCTGAATTTTGAGCGAGACGAATTTGTTCCTCTTTTTCTTAGAATGTACTGCATAGAATAAATCATTTGACCCTTGCCTGCTACCTCTTTCTTCAGCACCTCATCTTAGTATAGGCTTTAAAAAGGGAAATGCTATAACCACTACGGAAATTGAAGCAGTAATCAAAACTCTCCCAACAAACAAGAGCCCAGGGCCAGATGGCTTCCCAGGGGAATTCTACCAAACATTTAAAGAAGAATTAATAACGATTCTTCTGAAACTGTTCCAAAAAATAGAAATGGAAGGAAAACTTCCAAACTCATTGTATGAGACCAGCATTACCTTGATCCCAAAACCAGACAAAGACCCCATCAAAAAGGAGAATTACAGACCAATATCCCTGATGAACATGGATGCAAAAATTCTCACCAAAATACTAGCCAATAGGATCCAACAGTACATTAAAAGGATTATTCACCACGACCAAGTGGGATTTATCCTTGTGCTGCAAGGCTGGTTCAAGATCTGCAAATCAATCAATGTGATACAATACATTCATCAAAGAAAGAACAAGAACTACATGATCTTCTCAGCAGATGCAGAAAAAGCATTTGACAACGTACAGCATCCTTTCTTGACTAAAACTCTTCAGAGCACAGGGACAGAGGGTACATACCTCAATATCATAAAAGCCATCTATGAAAAACCCACAGTGAATATCATTCTCAATGGGGAAAAACTGAGAGCTTTCCCCCTAAGGTCAGGAACATGGCAGGGATGTCCACTATCACCACTGCTATTCAACATAGTACTAGAAGTCCTAGCCACAGCAATCGGACAACAAAAAGAAATATAAGGCATCCGAATCGGCAAAGAAGAAGTCAAACTCTCACTCTTTGCAGATAATCTGATACTTTATGTGGAAAACCCAAAAGACTCCACCCCAAAACTGCTAGAACTCATACAGGAATTCAGTAAAGTGGCAGGATATAAAATCAATGCACAGAAATCAGCGGCATTCCTATACACCAACAACAAGACAGAAGAAAAAGAAATTAAGGAGTCGATCCCATTTACAATTGCACCCAAATCCATAAGATACCTAGGAATAAATTTAACCAAAGAGGCAAAGAATCTGTACTCAGAAAACTATAAAATACTCATGAAAGAAATTGAGGAAGACACAAAGAAATGGAAAAACATTCCATGCTCATGGACTGGAAGAAAAATATTGTAAAGATGTCAACGCTACCTAGAGCAATCTATACATTTAATGCAATCCCTATCAAAATACCATCAACTTCTTTCAAAGAAATGGAACAAATAATCCTAAGATTTGTATGGAATCAGAAAAGACCCAGAATAGCTAGAGGAATGTTGAAAAAGAAAAACAAAGCTGGTGGCATCACAATTCCGGACTTCAAGCTCTATTACAAAGCTGTGCAAGCTATTACAAGACAGTACGGTACTGGCACAAAAACAGACACAAAGATCAATGGAACAGAATAGAGAGCCCAGAAATGGACCCTCAACTCTATGGTCAACTCATCTTCGACAAAGCAGGAAAGAATGTCCAATGGAAAAAAGAGAGTCTCTTCAACAAGAGGTGTTGGGAAAATTAGACAGCCACATGCAGAAGAATGAAACTGGACCATTTCCTTACACCACACACAAAAATAGACTCAAAATGGATGAAAGACCTAAATGTGAGACAGGAGTCCATCAAAATCCTAGAGGAGAACACAGGCAGCAACCTCTTCGACCTCAGCCGCAGCAACTTCTCCCTAAAAATAGTGCCAAAGGCAAGGGAAGCAAGGGCAAAAATGAACTATTGGGATTTCATCAAGATAAAAAGCTTTTGCACAGCAAAGGAAACAGTCAACAAAACCAAAACACAACCAAGAGAATGGGAGAAGATATTTGCAAATGATATATCAGATAAAGGGCTAGTATCCAAAATCTAAAAGAACTTATCAAGCTCAACACCCAAAGAACAAATAATCCAATCAAGAAATGGGCAGAAGACGTGAACAGACATTTTTCCAAAGAAGACATCCAAATGGCCAAAAGACACATGAAAAAGTGCTCAACATCGCTAAGCATCAGGGAAATCCAAATCAAAACCTCAATGAGATACCACCTCACACCAGTCAGAATGGCTAAAATTAACAAGTTGGTGGGGATGCGGAGAAAGGGGAACCCTCCTACACTGTTGGTGGGAATGCAAGCTGGTGCAGCCACTCTGGAAAACAGTATGGAGGTTCCTCCAAAAGTTGAAAATAGAGCTACCCTATGACCCAGCAATTGCACTACTGGGTATTTACCCCAAAGATACAAATGTAGTGACCCGAAGGGGTACATGCACCCCAATGTTTATAGCAGCAATGTCTACAATAGCCAAACTGTG